GGGGATGGTGCACTCACACCTGTGTGGCTGTGGCATGGATGCCCCCATGGGTGACGAGGGTCCAGTAGCCCCCGGTGCTGGAATAGAAGGTGCACTTCTTTGTCTCCTGGTCAATTTGCATCAGGAAGGTCTCATGATGCAGTTCTTCGTCTTGGTTGGCTGAGACGTTGACCCCTGGAGGGAGAATATGGGAAGCCCCTCGCGCCTCTCCCGGGTGGGGGGTGGGGAGCAGAGAGATGGGGAAAAGCATGCTCTTGGGAAAACCCTGAAGGCAGAGGGGGTCTCATCTAGAACCCTTTGGAGTTAAGATTTGGAAGGCACTTCTTGGAGGGTAGGAGGCAGTGCCCATGGCCGTGTGGGCACACCACAGACCCCTACATCCGGTTCCCTAAAGGTCCTTGGCCTAGCTCTTACCACAGCCCCAGGAGCCAGACCTTCTGTGCCAGCAAATTCCTTGCCTCTGCTAATCATCAGGTAATCTGCTTGCTGCTGCCCTCTCGACCCAGGACTTACACCAGCCTCTATAACTCCTAAGCCACTGGGTGGGCACAGTAGGGTCCCTCTTCTTCCCCAAGCCATGGCCCAGGGCACAGCTGGGGCCTGGGGTCCACTCCTGGGCACAGAGTAGAGGCCGATCCACTGTCCCCTCTCCAGCCCCCTTTTCACTTGTGTGGTCTCCTGGGAGTCCTGAGGGAGGGCAAGGCTGTCCAGGGCTCTGCCTGGAGTTCCTGGAAGGGAACCGGGGGCATCCATGCCCAGGGTGGGGAGCAGACGGCAGGCACTGGCATCTCTCTAGTATTTTCCCATAAACCACGCTCCTGATTCCGGTGATGTGGCAGATCACAGAGCTCGCCGAAGAGGCCGGGCTCCAGCACGTCCAGCTGGTGGAGCGGGAGGAAATGGGGGCCTGAGGGTCGGGGCCAGATCCTGTCCAGCCCCGTCCCCAGGAAGGTAGGGCGGGCACCAGGAGGGCCTATGCTGGAGAGGGTGAGACCTGCCGTCCTTCACCAGCTCCCAAGGCTGCCCCCTCCAAAGCCGCCCAGATAGGGATCTGTCTCCCTTCTTGCACGAATGCCTGCCATCCTGGCCGTCCCATCGGCGGCACTGAACTAGGTGAGCACCCGATGCTTCGGGCATGTGATCAGCAGTTAACTCAGACAACAAAGACAGTCTGCCCGATGCCCGTGGGTGCCGGGGCCTTGACTGGGATGGCTTGTGGAGAAGGTGACACTGAAACAGACCAAGGAGGTGGGAGACCCGTCCCCGCGGGTGCTGAGGGCAGAAGGAGGAGAGGGCTCCTGAGTCAGGCTGCACACCTGCACCGCGGCCCCGCGGAGGCCGACCGCACTGGCATCCCCAGCATCGCCCCTCACACCCCCTCCAGACAGACTGTGGCCAAGGGGTTTCCAACTCACACAGCTGTCTGCTGGAATAGCAGAGCTGTCTTGTGACCACGAGGCCACCAGCCCGAGGTCAGAGCTGTGCCCCGTGAGCAGCTCCACAAGGAGGAGTGAAGGGTTTGAGGATGCCCGAGCCGGCGATGGTGTCCTCCCTGGGACCCCACCACCCCGTGCCTCCAGACTTCCGTTTATATGAGGTGACGTCCTCATGGCTTGAGCCCCTGGGGACCGTTCTGTGAGCTCCACTGTGCCATCGAGGGCCAGCCAGGGTGCTCCCAGACACCCCATGCAGAAGAAGACAGGTTTGGGGGCTGCCTGGCCAGCAAAATTATTGGGATCAAGGCACCGGCACTCGGCAGAACCCGCAGCTCCAGCTGCCTCCTCTCCCGGACTGACAGGCCACGTCCTGCTTCCTCAACCACTCACTGGCCAGTCAACACTGAACATCTGGGGGGCAGGCCCCATGCCCCAGGGCTATTGCAAAGGAAGCGAGCAGGCGAACATGGGGTCCCTCTGGCCTCTACAGGGGAAGGCAGATCCCGTCCTTAGTAGGGGATGCCCCCGTGACAGAGACAGTCAGATGCAGGGGGTCCAGGGAAGCAAGAAGAGTCCATACGGCGCCGTCCCTCACCATCCCACCAGTAGAAGAGAAGGGGGGCAGCCCAGCATGGGCAGGACCTGCCCTCCTGCCCCTCACGGCCGCGGGCCTGGGCACCGCCGTCCTGCGTTGCGCGGCTGTCCAGCGCACCGTGGGCCCAGGGGTCCTGAGAAGGAACCCCGCCTCCTGACTCTGAAGCCAGCAGCCCTCCGCCGGGACCGCCACGCGTGGCCCAAGGCCCACCCACCTGCACCGTGTGCTGCCACCCACTGGCCACCACCCACGAGGGCACGATGATGCCACGACCCCAGGCGGGCCCCCGCACCGCGGTCGGCGTGGCCGGCCTGCCGCGCCCACGTTACCTTGCCGCACGGACACGTAGCGGTGGTTGGCGGCCACCAGCACCACCTGTGGGTGACTCTCCTCCAGGTCGAAGAGCTCATCCTTGCCCGGCCGCGTGCTGCGGCCTGCCCTGAGCGTGCCGGCAGGCCCCCCGGGCGCCAGGTAGCGGCCGTCACGGTCCTTGAAGGCCAGCCTGCCCGCCTTGACCCCGAGCGTGTAGCGGGCGTGGGGCTCGGGCCCCCCCACGAGGCGGCCGTCGCTGCGCAGGTAGCGGCCGTCACAGGCCTGGAGGCAGTACTGCCGGTTCTGGAAGATGAGGGTGACGAGCGCGCCCACGCCCCAGGGCGTGTCGCTGTCGGCCGTCATCTCGTCCTCCTGCGGGCACAGGTGCACGTAGCGCCGGCGGCTCACGCTCAGCAGGTGCGCCTGCGGGTGGATGGCCAGGTGGACGGTCCACAGCTCGGCCGGGGAGATGGCCGTGGCGAAGCAGGACAGCCGGTCCTCGGTGCCGCCGAAGAAGCGGCCGTGCGGCTCCGACTGCAGCGCCCAGCGCCCGTCGGGCTGTGGCAGCACCAGGAAGCGGCAGTCACGGCCCGGCCGCTCCGCCTCGCAGGCCACGCGCCCGTCCTCCTGGGCGGACAGGTAGCGGCCCAGGTGGTTGCTGCGGAGCAGCACAGCGGCGCCCTGCCCCGGGTCAGGCTCCAGCACCCACGTCTGCTTCCTCTTGAGGCTGGGTGCCGAGGCGTTGACCTTGAAGCCGAAGCTCTCGGCCGTCAGGTAGCGGTCAGCATCGTTGACGAGGCCAAACTGGATCTTCAGCACCTGGTGCAGGCCGTTGGTGGGCATCCTCAGAGCCGGCCCAGCGCCCCACGAGGGGCCTGGGAGGCTCTCTCCGCGTGCTCACGGCCCCCGAGGTCCCCCAGAGGCCCAGCCGGCGTCATGGACCCGCTGCCCTCTGACCAGCGGCTGCAGGCCCGCGGGCGGCGGAGGGCGGGCGGAGGGCGGATCAGAGCTGTGCCGGCTTAGGGACAGCGGCTGCCTTGTGTTACCCCAGCTTGGATTTCAGCCACTCGTGGACTGCCCCAGCAGCCGGAGCCCCAGGGCCTGCAGGGGTGGAGAGCTCCGCCCGCCGAGGGCTGACCACCTCCCCGTCCTCACTGGCGGCTGCCCAGGCCTACAGCCCGAGCCCCGGGCCCCGCCTCCTGGCCCCTGCGCCTCTTGGGCTGCCTCCTGGTTGTCCCCCGCGTCAGGGCCCCCAGACCCACTGCACAGACTCAGCAGCCCAGCCCAGCTCCTTCCCGATGTAGAGAAAGCTGCCTGGTGGAAAACTCAGCGAGGCCGCAACCCGATCACAGCCCTCCACCCTCAGCAGCCGCCAGATCCTCGGCCAGATCCAGTTACTGCTTCTCTGATTCCCGGGGCCAGGAGCCCGGCAAGGCCCCCCAACTCAGGCAGCCTGGAGCTGGAGTCCCATACCGTCCCCCTCGGCCACTCCTCGGCTGCAGCCTGCAGCCCTGGGCCCAACACCTCCCCCAGGGTGGCCTGGGCTAGGAACGTGACAGCCAGGGGTCATGGTGCCAGGGAGCGTCCAGGTGTGCCCAGGCGCCCCCATCCTGGCACCCGTGGCACCCCGGCCCGAGCCAGGGTCGCACTCACATCAGGCCAGGAGGCCTGGCTCTGTGGGGCCAGGAGAGGGCCCCTGGACCACCCGAAGGCCCACGCAGCGGGAAGGTGACACAAGAGCGTGAGCAGGTATCATTCTGAAGGCGGCAGGCTGTCGGACCCGGGGTCAGAGGACCAGGCCTTGGGCTGACCCCTGTGCCGTAAGCACCTCAAGGAGCCCACGAGGCTGCTTCCCCTTCCCTGGGTGAGCTAGAGTGAAGCCAACCTTGCTGCGTGGGCCTGAGACCCCTATTCTGTTGGGGTTCATGTTGCTGGGGCGACTGGCCGGACTTGCAGCATCTTTACAGGGTCTGGTCCTGGAGGGTTTGTGGGGCAGAGCCCTCTCAGCAGAGAGATGTGGCTAGCAGGCTAGGAGAGGCCGGAAGCTGGCCACCCCTGACCCCAGCACCTCCCAGGCCCAGCCACTGGGACCACCTGGCTAGACTCCCTCCCCGCTGAGCCCAGGGGGGCCGTCTTCGGGGACCCGCAAGGGGCCTGCTCAGCCGCACCCTGCCCGTCTATCTCCTGCACCTGCCTCAGGGGCTGGGAGCCAAGTAGTGAAACCAGAGCTGCCCGGCCTGGGCCTGGGCCAGCCTCGGTGCCCTCTTCCTCACTGCAGCGTGTGACCCTCAGGCTTCCCTCGGGGAATGGGCTCGGGGCCATGGGCATTTCCAGCCACAGCCTCATGGGCCCTTGATGCCGCAGGCAGCTCCGCTCCACCCCTCAGGGGTCCTTCCTCCCTTCTCTGAGCCCTGGGCAGCAGCCCTGCCAGGCACAGGGAGACACTGAGGGCCAGAGTGGGATTCTGGGAGACACACCTGGGCACCGATCCCCCTAATAGCACCGTGCACGCTGCGGGGTGGTCATTGGGGCTGGTCTAGCGCTCCCTGACAGCTAGCACTGTCCGTCTCTGCAGCCCCCACACGTTGATGGGGCACCACCTGTGTGCCCGGCTGGGCTGCGTGCCAGGCGCCCACTGGCAGGGAGATGCCGTCTGGGGTAGCATCCCCTCCCCACGGAGAATGCCCTTATAAGATCCTCCAAGTCCCAGGGGCCCAGGCCTAGCCTCGATGCCAGGCACACGTCCCTGGTTTGGGGGTACGAGCCACGATGCTGATACCTGTCTCTCGCTGGATCTCACTCTGCCACCTCCCAGGGTGGCAGGAACACCCGCGGAGCAGGTGGCTCAGTGGCGCTGCTCTGTTCCTCTGTGCACGGGGGGCCTGAGGCAGCTGGGCCCACTGTGCCCCCAACTCCCACCCAGGCTCCGGAGGAGCCCGGGATGCCCGATTGGCATGAAGGTCTCAGTAGCACGGACTGGCACTGCCAGGGTGTTCATGGGCATCCTGTGCCCAGTGGGAGGAAGCCCAGCTGCCAGGCGCTAAGTGGGCCTGGCTCCAGGCAGCCTCTCGCTGGCAGAGCCAGAAGTGGCTGTGGTCTCTCGGTTCGGGGCGGGCATGGTGTGGGGCTGCCTGGCACTGACTCACAGTGTGAGCTAAGGGGGGACCTCTCAGGCCCCAAGGGGACCCTGAGAGGTGGGCCTCCCAGCCCAGGCTTCCTTGGAGGGAGGGAGGGAGGTTGCATGGATTGCCCCCCACACCTCCCAGGACCCAAGCCCTGAGCCCAGATGCCTGCTAGGGGTCACGTCTGGATCCCCTGTAAGGCTCTGGTGCACAGTAGGTACGGGGAACATCTGGTGTGATGCACTGAGCCTCTGCAGGGAGGTGAGGCAGTGTGCATGCTGGTGCGGGCCTGCGTGTAAAGGTGCACACGGGCGGGGCAGGACAGAGGGAGCCATGGTCAGTGGCTGGACCAGCCCTGGTCCTGGAAAAGCTTCCCTGGATCCCAACCCTAACCTGCTCATGGCCACCCAGCATGACGATCAGGTTGTGTACAGCACAAGGGAATCCGTGTCAGGGGCTACTTGTGAGAGCCTGTGGTGGGGTGTGTCCTCGGCTGTGTCCTCAGGGACACACGTGTCCCCGGCCAGAGGGGTCCACACAGCCACCCACGAGGGGCACACAAGGCCGATGGCCTGTCCAGGATGCCCTCAGGGGCATCCAAAGTCACTTGACCCACTCACCTCTGCACCTGCCCTCCTGGGGGACGGGGTGTGTACCCCGTGTGTGCGCATTGCCCTGGGCCATCGTCTGCCACCACTGGACAAGGCCTGAGGACTGGTGTCAGGCTGCCTGATGCGCCCACTTCAACATACATAACTTTCCCTCCTGGGCACAGAGAGGCCATCCAGGCAAGCAGCACCCCTGGACCCCCACTTCGGGGAGTGGTCAGCCACCCATGGACCCAGCTGGCTGGAGCTGGGCCTAGAAGGCAGGGGTCACTCCAGCTCTCGGAAGCTCCCAGCAGCCAAGGGTGGGGCAGATCCTTGGCCTCCTGCCTGTTTTAGGGAGGTCCAGCCGAGGCCAGGAGCAGAGAGGGCCCTGAAGCCCCCAGCCCCCCGGCATCTACACAGGAGCTCTCAGGAAACTGTTCCTCCCCTGGGATGCTGGGGGATGGGCAGGCCTGGCCACTTGCAGGCCCCCCCCCCGCCCCCAGCCAGGCCCCCGGAGGGCAACCAGGGAAAGGACCCCCAGTTCCGCATATCTAGACTGCTGGCCTTGGATGCTGCGCCCTGCCTGGGCTCCGGCCCAGCATGCTGCGTGCTGCCATGGCGACTGGCGCGTGTACCAAGCTGGATGCCCGAGCAACACTGCTGCTGATGGCGTGAGCTGGCACGGGCCCCACGTGCGTGCCGGCTGGGGGAAGGGGTGGCTCCCCACTCGGGCTGGCCTGGCAATAGCCCAGGATGGAGAGACCCCCCCCCAGGGCCACACCTGTCCCAGACCCAGGTCCTGGCCCCCTGCTTGAGCAATGCCCGCTGTGCCCCTCCTTCCCCACAGGCCAGCGAGTCTCTGGGAATTACTCCACACAGAGGAAACCCCCAAGACCCCGCCCTGCTTTCCTGCCCCCTCGGCGCCAGGTACTGTGCCCTCCCATGGCCAGGCCACTCTGGCAGGCCCCCTTCTGGGCCTCTGCCCCTAGGGCGAGGCCAGGGCTTTCCTGCTGGCCCAGGCACTGCTGGCCCGGCCCCAAGGCCCTGATTCCCCTGCTCCCAGGCCCAGCGTCGGTTCCCGGGGCCCAGCTTGGCCAGCGCCGTGGGCCCAGCCTCCTGCATTGTTCCTGAAAACAGGCCCGGGGCTTGGCTGCCTCATGATTTTTTCATGGCGGAGCTCGGCCGCTCTGAAGTTCCACTTACATGGGCAGGCGGGGCCTGGGTTGGTTTACTGGAGGCTTGCAGGCGGTTTAGGGTGACAGGCTTCCTTCTGCAGGGCAGGAGCGAGAGGGCAGTGTTGGAATGAAGAGTGTGGGGAGGGGGCTCCGCATCTCACACAGCCCGCTCCACATGAAAATGCACCCACCCCCTCTCCCCTTCCCCACCATCTGGACCCCCCAAGACCCCTCCCTTCCCTCACCGTCCCCAGCCCCACTCCCATCCCCCATTCCCATCCCCCACCCCTCCTGAAGGCAGGGCAGCTCATGAAATACTGGTTTTGGCGGACTCCTCTCCTGCCTGGCCCGCCCCCTCGCCCTTGAAGGGAAGCTGGGGGGGGCTGGGGGGGCTGGGGGGGCAGCTCCCGCCCCGCCGTGCTGTCTGGGTAGAAAGCTGCTATAGTCTCCTGGCTCTTGTCTCTTGTAAAATCATAAAGTCCTGGGGAGGGGGTGGTTATTTCTGGAGGGGAGGGGAGGGGGGGACCAAGGCCTCTGAGCCCTGCCAGGAGTCCCAGGGCCCCAGCGAGGCTGAAAGTCCCTGAAGGGGCCCTGAAGGCAGGACGGGGCGTCTCAGCCCAGATGCCCTGCAACCAATGTGGTCATCCAACACCCAAACCCCAGGACCTTTGCATATTGCTAGAACAAGAGGGGAGCATTCACAAGAATGTCTCAGAGTAAGTCCCTGGCAGCACGGGGCTCAGAAGCAGGACCAGATCAACTCCAAGAAACTAGATGGCTATTTTACTGTCCACCTGGGCTTCAAGACACACCCGGCGCGGGCAGTTGGGAGCCCCCATCTCTGCAGGTGACTGGGGCCGCCTCTGCGCACCCCAGCCTTCCCGTGCAACCGTGCACACACGTGCACCGCAGCTGTGCGCAGGGGCGCAGCCCGTCATGACGGAACCAGACCCCTC